AAAAAATAGATTTTTAAGACAATTTTACCCCCTCCCTCTCCCCCCCCCCTCCCCACCCAGACAAAAAAAATAATAAACGCAGCCCAATAACTAAATTTAAAAATATTTTGTCCACACCCCTTCCCCGGAAAAACAAAAACCTTTAAGCAAATACTGCAAAGAATCTAAAATGTTTTCTTTATACAAAACAGTCATTATAGAAAAGTAACTTATAACAAGACATTCACTGTAGTAAAAACAATAACACATAAGAGCAATAAATTGTCAACAACTATAACCATATTTCTCCTCAGAGCTTCTTCTCACTTCTATACATTACATAAGAACTCATATTACTTTTAATTTGTATAAAAACTCCTACTTTACCCAAAAATCACGTAAAATGATCAATAGCCCAGAACAATCAACACATTTATCTCTTCAGTTGATTGCTCACAACCTAGATGAATTCCTCACTGCCAAAAAAACGCTCCTTACCCATAAAGTCAAAAAAGGCAGCTCACTGCCAAAAAAAAATCAAAAAAAGACAGCTCCTTACCCAAAAAAAATAAAAAATCGCTCCCCGCCCAAAAGCCATAGTAAAAGGTAAAGAATGGCTAATCAACCAAGAAAATGGGTATAGATTTCAATTAAAGAATCAGAAACCGAGACGGTTCGTGTGTTTTTCGAAACCGCATTTCTCGAATTCTTTTGGCTTTGATGGTCATTCAGAATGACAGTCGACAATGGGTAATTCCCCAAAGGCGTCGAAATTTCAACCTTTTCCTTCGAAATTTTTGTTTCAAACTTTTTTAAGTCTTAATTTTTTACTGTTGGGCGAGGAGATATATTAAGGTTGAAAGGAAGAGTAGAATAACATAAACTAAAATAGCGTATGGCAGGACAGAATAGCGCGGAGAACAACAAAGTAGAGAAGATTAAGGTACAGGACGGTATGAAAAAGCATTATAGAGTAAAGGAAGGTAGAGTAAAATAAGAATAGCGTATGGTAGAGTGGGTAGAATAGGGCAGGGTAATGTAAGTTTAGAGTAGAGTAAGATAAGATAGGGTAAGGCAGGATAGAGTACAACAGATCTAGGTAGAGTACGGCAGAGTACGGCAGGGTACAATAAAGTACCGTAGGGTAAGATAGGGTAGAGTGGGGGTTGATAAGGTAGGGTAGGGTAAGGTAAAGTAAGGTAGAGTAGGGTAGGGCATGATACGGTAAAGTCGAGTACCGTAAGGAAAGGTAGGAGTAGAATTAAGTATAATATGTAGGATAAAGTGAGAGTACTAGAGTCTAAAGTAGAACAAAAAACTTAGTACAGAACCACACTATCATTAAAAACCAAGAAAACTATTCAAAAACCAACGTTCACGCCAGTTTTTATAACGTTTCTTGAATAGGAAATTAAGAAACCTTCCGTGAAAGGCCGTATATGGGGGTGTTATCTATTTCAAACAATCTTAAATCTACATTAAAGTTTGAACACAACTAAAAATACACTTTTTGATAGACTTGTCGATAAACACTATAGACCAAAAGTTATAAGCTAGACAAAATACAGTAATTTCTAGCTAGCAAATCCACAATAAAAATCAATAGCGACGTCCCTAGCCACAATACTAACATTTCAATGTCATGCCAAAATAAGATCATAACTACCGCATTCCAACCTATAACTTCCATATTCATAGTGTAAATATAAAAACACGTCATTTCAAGTGCATTACAATTTCAAGTCCATTACAATGGAAGGGGCATTCGAAACGGCCTTTTTCACTGCTTTATCAGCTGACTGAACACAATGAATAAACGAAACAAAAAACCACTAAACTTAATCTCTAGCTCTGAGTCATTGGCTTATATTATGTTTATTAAAGTGCAGTCGAAGCCGTGTGGTACAGTAAAAAGGAAGAATTTTTTTTTCAAAAAAGTTTGACATGAGCCGACAACACCCTACAACAACATCAAGCCTTACCTATATTATCCATCAAACCCCTACCTATCAACCCCCTACTATAATATAATAAAGCTCAAGACCTCAAAACCGCTAAGCCAAGTGATAAAAATGTTTCCTGATATTTTATCCCCTCCGGCTTCTCAGTTAGTTTTTAGTTGCAGCGAAATGAAAATTGAGATGAGAGGCAAGAATAGAACAAAAAGAATGGCTGGTCACTTTTTCGTCGGAACATTATTCTCAAAGCCTGAAGACCTGGGAATAACACAAATTCCACTGTTTACATTTTAAACATTCCGAAATGAATGCTTGTCGTTCTGAATGAGTTTAAAGATTTTAAATTTGTCTTATGAAGTGACTGATTTAGAAAAACGAACTCTTTTTAAAAACAAAAGTCCAAAATTTCCGTACTGCCTTTAGAAGCTATAAACAAACCATTTTTTTTATCAACAGATAGCTACCTGTAGATTTAGTCTTGGATCGGCTCTAGCAAAAGGTTAGATCCTCCCCCACATAACCTCCCTGTAATTACGTCGTTATTAACATATAGGTATGCCCAGAAACGTCGTTACACATTTTTTCTAGGAAGAAGGAGGGGGGGGACGAGAGAGCCAAAGCCAAAATTTTTTTTAGTTCGCAGGAGCTACCTGTCCACCATTTCTCAATTTTTTATCTAATTATTCACGTACAACTACTGGGAGAAAGGGGTGAATCCTAGAAATAAAGAACGGGCCGGCCTTGATTATCAGTCCTTGATTTTCAGGCCCGGCCCGAACAGCCCAGCACGTTTGCACATAAAGGAAATCGAGCCAGGCCTGAGCAAACTTTTGAGCGGGCCGGGCCTGAGTGTTAGACCCGTTCCTCATGTCTAGTAGACCCATCATCTTCTCACCTTACCTTTCGTTTTAGCTACGTCACTGATATATAGATATGCTTATATAATTAACAATAAAAGTCCGTCTTTATTTGTTTCACAAAAGTCAACTTAACCCCAATCTTCAAGAAGAGTCAACCACAGATTCAGAATATGTACGCCAAACAACTCAGAATACCTCAAACCCCTTAACTTCAAAAATTTTAATAATTGAAAAAGCCTAGCGCCTCATAAAAACTGAAAAAACCTACAGCCTCAAAATTATAAAAAACCCTCAAACTTTCATAGAGATGGCATTAAATCAAAGGAGCCAAACGTCGTGTCCCAATCAAAGAAGATCAATCATAAACCCAAGCAGGCATGACCCGAAACTTATGTTCCGTGAAGATGAATGCATATACCTCATAAAAACAGGCCAAAACAAAAACGAACATGCCATTCGACGTCATTAAAACGCTTGTTTCATGGAACAACGTTCAAGTCGACTTTGATAAGCGTGCAAAAAGCTATTTAAAAAAATTTTTTAGTGTTTCTTAAGGTTAGGTGGCAGTGGCTTTGATAAGAAACCGAAAATCATAGCCAAAAAAGTTTTTTACCCTCCCCTCTCACACTCAAAAAAAATTTTTTTTTAACTCTTAAAAACATTAACTTGGTACTCCATACAGGTTATTAAATTTTTTTTAATTTCAAAAAAACTTTTTTTTCCCCCCGCCCCAAATTTTTTTTTGAGAGAAAGTTAAACTTGATCCCCCATGCTCATAATCAAAAAAATAACAAAAACTCAAAACAATTTACCCCTCCACCATCCTGCCCCACCCCCCCCCCTCTCAAAAACTAAGTCACCCGCCAAACACTGCCCGCTCCATAGTACCTTTTGCACTCTCGAGATCAGAAAATCGAAAATTTTCCCCTAAAAGTGATAAACCAACTAGTGACATATCAACTTTCCATCACAACTTTCGAATGCAACACTTTGGAACAGTGGTCAGTGAAAAACTGTAAGTTAACAGAGATCAAAAACCTAATAAATTGGTCACAAAGTTTTTAGAAACATCGAGTATACCATCTTTAATGCTCTTATCAACCAGCTTAATTAAACCTGGCCCTAAGTTGGGCTTATCACAGCCTTGGCCTAGCTATATCCTAGCCCTTTCTTGCTTTAAATAAAGCTATAATATAAAGCCTGATATAAGGCTAGAGTTAAAGCTAGCAAAGACCTACCCCAATGCAAATAAAAGCAAAAACTGTCCAACCTGCAACTTTAAACTATTTCAACGCAATTTCCAGGTGATAAACGACCTCCAAATTTATATCAGTTTGTCATAAATCTCTCGGCGAGCTATTCCCGCCAACTTTTGGGCCGCTTTGACCTTACCTTCTAGTTCTATGGCTCTTTTTAAGTTATCATAGGCTTTTATAAAACAATATAGCTCAAAATCATAAATTTAAAAAACAAATTAATAAATCAGCATTGAGAAAGCGTATTTTACACAATGCTGGTCCTAATTTAGCCTTATCACCCCAAAATCTTTACAAATATCCCTCAAAAATGCGATCAAACAAACAAAAACGTCCCAAAACTGTCCAAGGTTACTAAATCAACAAACAAATTTTCAAAAACAAATATCCTAAAGCCATTTTCTATGACATAAAACAGTAAAAAATCAACTTCATAGTCCATAATATACCAAAAAACCAATCCAAACATCAAAAAAGCTAGTTCAAACGATATAAAATACCAAAAAAATCTAATCAAAACTCCAAAAATCATCGAAAAAACTAACTATAACAATACTAGATACCCAGAAATCTAACTCAAACATCATAAAACACCAAAAAGAGCCCTTAAAATAAAACAATATCACGAAAAAAACTATAAAAATATGAAATAAGGTTCATAAACCACTACAACAACATCAAATTTCAAAAGCTTTTTTTTCAAAATTTCAAGATTTTCTTTATTAAACAATAACAATTGAACTGATAGTCAACTAACAATAACAACAAGAAATAAATTCTAAACCATAATAAGGCAATTTAAAGTTTGGCACTTTTTGGAAAATTGCATAAAATGCCATTTATAATTAAAACAATAATAAAAACCTTTAAAATCTAAAATAACTTCAGGTTTGATGCCAATAACCTTCAAAAATGTCATTTTTTTAAATTTCCGAAATCGGCCATTTTCATTCACCATTCAGCTGTTTCTTCGCAAAATCAAACAATTTTTTGTTTTCCCTCTGTAAAGTGCTGTTCAGTTCCTTTAGCTTCTCCAGCTCAGCCTTCATTTGTGCCACTTCTTCGCTTGAAACTGTTTCTTTCTCCACATCTACCTCCATGATTTCTGGCTCTTCTTCTATGGCTTGTCGCTTTTGTTTTGCCAACTTTCTTCTGGCCGATTTTGACAGGGTTTTTAGCGGTGCTGTAGTTGATTGTTGAGGGTTTTTGGAGCGGTTCTGATCTTGTTTTTGAGCTGTAGATAAGGTTGAGCTTGTTGATGGGATGTCATTTGATTTCAGCCAGTCGGACAGGTCCTGAAATTAATATTTTTAATTTTTTTTCAATTTATAAATCCTCACCATAATTTTTTTTCAAAAGTTTAAACTTGATCCCCCCCCCCTGTGCAGGGACGTCGCGACGATTTTCTCTGGGAGAGGGTAAGGCCGAAAAAAAATGTTTTCAAAAAATTTTTTTTTCATTTTTACGCGTACAGGTACCTCCTACCTGTGGAATTTTTTTCGGATTGGCTCTGGGGGGAGGGTACCCCCCCCTACCCCCTCCCCCAAACGACGTCCCTGCCCCTGTAAATAATAAAATTCAAAAACATTTTTTTAAATATACCATACTAGATCGAAATCACTAACCACAGACAAAAAACAACCTTCAAAAGTCATTTTTCATTAAAAAATCAATTATAAGGCAAAAAACTGCTATAAAAATTTTTAAGAAACCAAAAATCTCCACCTACCTCAACCCTCTGATTCCATTGCCCATCCTCATTAAGTCTAAACGTCAAAGTTGAATTTAGTTTCGCGCTCATATCTCGATTCAAAGGCTTAACTTGCTGTGGATCCACATAATATTCCACATCTGTGACTGATTTAAAAGCCGGTGTAAACTTCAATGTAGTTATGATTCCTGACTTTTGTACTTTAAACATTGTCTGAAGGTTGAAAGAATCCCATATATAGATGGTACCGGTTTCATCTCCACTAGCTCCTTTTGATTCGTCTAGATTTAGAGCTATTTTCACTATTGGAGCTGAATGTTTTGATACAATTTGAAGTGAATCATCTTCTTCGTCGGTCTTTTGGGCTCGGAGAAAGTCGTTTTCGGCTAGTTGGTACCTCTGAAAATAAAAAATTTTTTAATTATTATTATATTAGCCTTATAATTAAATTCATTGCCCAAACAGGTAACAAACGCTTAAACGAATCATATTACTTCAAAATCTCTTTAAAAACCAAAAATACATCAAAATCAATTTAAAAATCGAATTTCAAACCAAAACTTACAGCAGCTTCAGTACTCATTGAAATCAGTTTTCCACCTTCAGTACCAAAAAACAACTTCAATTCAGTTGAATTCAGACAACAAGCTCCCAACTTTTCATCCACATTCATTTTAATCACCGGAGTTTCTTCTTTAATAGACCATAACACCAGTGAATGATCCGCTGACACAGTCAGTAACCGAGTTGAATCCAACGGACCAAATGACAAATCTGTAACCGGCTGTCTGTGATACCTTAAGGTCTTGTATGGTGAAACTTCTTCGGCCAACACTGATCGTAAGACTAGGCTAAAAAGGAAAGATTATAAATTAAAAAATGTTAAATAAATGTAAAATTAAAAAACGCAAAAAAAAATTGACATAAATATCTAAGTTTTCCCCAAAATGTAAGTGATTTTATGAAAAAACCATATAAAACCTAGTATAATATAAAAAAAATTAAGAATCTTATATGAATCGTATCAAAACGTACTCTCTTGTTTGAAAAACAAAGACAACACCATCATCTTCAGCCGGAACAGCCATATATTTATCATTCGGACACAAAACAATCCGATTGAATCTCAACATCGAGTTTGCTGACACCTTCAGAAGTTCCCCTGTTTTTACCTAAAATATTACACTATGTAGATGTAAAATACGTTTAACAGAATGTTCAACAACATAATGAATATAAATCTATCGATATTCAAGTCAACCAAAGCTTCTTTTTTCAAAATTTCGCTACCTAAACATCAAAGCCAATATTATACTAAACAACTTACATTATAACTGAATATTTTGTTCTGTAACGACAAGTATACAAATGTCCCAGTAGAATCTATAGCACAACTAGTTACAGGACTTCGGACAAAACAGTTTATGGGTTGAAATTTGGCCGCAGAAACCATTGACACCAAGTTTTGTGTGGCAGACCCAACCAACAACACATCTCCTTTTCGACCAACTGGTTCAGCAAACTTTGTCGCCGACCCACGCAGTTCATTGCCTTTATGTGACCAAATAGCATGTCCCGTAGCTGGATCAACATAACTTGTCGTGTATGGACTCTCACTTTGAGAAGAAATTAACAAAAACTAAAAAAAGACATTAACCATGTTTTCATCAAGTGTTTAATCATACACCTGCTCTTAATACTGTATAAAATACAATTCACTTTCTAATATTTTACCAAAAACATAAAGCAGATTTTCAAGAGCAATTTACTTCAGTTCGACGTATGTTTATACCTAAAAACCAACTAAAAAAGCAAGATACTTACCTCCGGCTTGTTCGCCATGTTTGTAGATATTATATGAAACAAAATTCAACAAAATATTAACAATAACAACAATAATGTACTAAAAATTCTTTATTTTTCAACAAAATCCCATTAAAATATTATTTATTGGCATTCTATTTTACCTCGTGCAAAATTCGCGGGTTTTTTAAGAGAGAAGAAGAAAAACACATGACGCTAAATTCCTTTTGTGTCAAGTTTTCTTTTAAAATATTGTAAAATTTGATAAAATTTGAAAGATTGAACTGATAAGAACATAAAGAAAGATTTCAAAGTATTTTAGCAACTTTTTAACAATTATGAAGCAAATTCCTGACTTTGACGTGCTTTTATTGGACATTGAAGGTACTACAACATCGATATGGTTCGTTAAAGTAAGTCTTGCTATTTTTATAGTTACAATGTTTAGGACGTTCTATTCCCTTATGCTCGGGATAATGTCGAGATGTATTTGAGGACGTTTAACGACTTACCTGAATTGCAACCGATTTTGGAAGAACTTGTGAACACATCTAACAAACTGGCTTTAGAAGATGACAATGTATCGAAGGTGGAAAGTATAAATGACATTGATAACATAGTGAAGAATGTAAAGTATTGGATAGCGAAAGATTTAAAGGTATTTTGTTGTGGTTTTCTTGACTTATGATGTTGTAGTAGGTGAAGGAAATAATTTTCATTGTTGGAAGTAAAATAATGTTGCTAATTTACAGCTGAAGTCTTTGAAAGATTTACAAGGATACCTGTGGGTTCATGGATACAAAACTAAAGCATTTAAAGCTCAGTAAGTTTTTTGATCAAGTCGTGTTTTTACCTTATCATCTGGAATTAAAGTGAATATAATTAATATAATCATAACTTTTGAAGCGTGTACGATGACACTCCGAAACTTTTTGAACTTGCCAAGAATGCCGATGTGCCAGTTAATATCTATTCTTCCGGGTCTGTTTTTGCTCAGAAACTTTTATTTGGATTTTCAAAGAAAGGAGACCTAACACCTTACATAAGTCAATATTTTGATACTGCTGTCGGACCAAAAGTTGAAGCTCAAAGTTATGTGAATATAGTAAGGCAACTGGGCGTGGCTGCTGAACGAGTTTTGTTTGTTACCGACGTGGATAAAGGTAAAATACGGGTTGTTTAGTTGGCGCTGGTTTATATCAAACATAATTTTTGAAGTTAAAATGTACATAACTGATTGGCCGCTAACATTATTGTTTTAAAATCGTTATTATATTATTCCTCAATGTCTTACCTTCAAATTGATGTATAATTCAATATATTTTAGAAGCCTTTGCGGCCAAAGAAGCAGGTTTATCGGTGGTGATAACAGTTCGCCGTGGGAATGCTCCATTGTCAGATGAGGCGAAAGAAACGTTCAAATTGATTGCTAGTTTTGATGAAATACCTTTGTAAAGGTTTGTCAGGGTCTAATAGATATTGTGAAGAAGGGCAATTTAATTTGGAAGCTTCGTTTTTGTAAAACGAAGAGTTCTATATTAAGGAAGGATATAGTTTTTGGGTCTTTTTGATATTTTAGTGTTTTAAGATAGAATAGAGTTTTATTTGTCAGCATTTCGTTTTAAAATGACTTAAAGGATGTTGTCTTGCATATCAAAAACATTTTTCCAGATTAAAATTTATTTTTATAAAATATATTAACATCGACAAGATTACACTGAAAATGAAATAAAAAGATAAATAAATACAATTTTATGGTCAAAAAAGGCAAGAAATATAACTTTTAATCAAGATAAATATGAAACAATAATTAAAAAATACAGTTACTTTTTGCCAAGACTCAATAAAGCCATATAACCATAGGGTACACATCGACAGTCATGGGTAATATCGTTGGAAAAGTCGCGACAACCGCCTTTACAAATGTTTAGCCCGTCAGTACAACGGTTTCGAACACCGTCCCAGCCACAGCCTTGGGGCTAAAATTTTAATGTAAAATACGACAGTCTTTCTGTTTTCCAATAGGCTGCAGAAACTTTCTTTACAAATAATTTTTTAATCAAAGAAAGGTTTTATGTACTATATCGTACTAAACAGTACTACACCATAAATCACTTTTACTATATAGTACTAACCAATAAATCACGTTATATTCACCCACCTGGAAGTTGTCCTTATCATTAACATAGCTCATTAATGATGACATAGCCTGACCATACTGATTAGAACCGCCATATCCATAACCAGAAGGGCCCATCATACGATTATATGATGATGGCATTGGACCAGCCATCATCATTTGGTCATAGTAGTCGTCGGTCGGCATCATAGGACCATACCTACTGTAAGGTAGCATTTGGGCTGAGATTACGGTAACCGATGCGAGGAGAGGTAGAAGGGGCTTCATCTGGAAGTGTAAAATTTAAAAAAAATCACCGTAACAGCTGCCTCAAGTAATATTAGGTTGTTCAAATAAATCTGTGCCTCTTTGCTCTGAAAATTTGCTTTGAAAGCAGACACAGAACAAGTTGAACAACCTAATGGTATTTGGGGCTTCTTTTACCGCCTGGCACTAAAACCTATCATAATATTAGGTACGCTCGGCCCTAAAGAGCCTACTATAATATACCTAAAAATCAGTTTTTTTCACTAAAAAATTTTAAAAAAGTATTATAATTGCCGTAGCATCACGAAGCTCCGCTCAAGAAGCTCCTATTTATAAGCATTTCCTTCAAATTCGATTATTCGAATTCGAATAACCGGAAGAGCGAGGATTCTCACTGCTTCTTCGAGGGCGTTAAGAAGATCAAGTGTGAATTCCAAAAAAATTATAGCATCTCAAAACAAGAATTCTATAACAATAGGTGGGGGTTTTTGTGTAAAATACGTTTTTTCACTGTTTTTCGAACATTGGTTAGAGGGCAATAAGATTTGGTAACATAAACCGGTTTTTTAAAATTTTAAACTTACCTTTAGGGTCAGCAACCTTTGTTTAAATAAGTTGAACATCTTGAACTGGTAATAATATCTTCCCCCCCCCCTACCCTTACCCCTACCCCTACCCCTACCCCTACCCCTACCCCTACCCCTACCCCTACCCCTACCCCTACCCCTACCCCTACCCCTACCCCTACCCCTACCCCTACCCCCTACCCCCTACCCCTACCCCTACCCCTACCCCTACCCCTACCCCCTACCCCTACCCCTACCCCTATCCCTACCCCCTACCCCTACCCCTACCCCAACCCCCTACCCCCTACCCCTACCCCTACCCCTACCCCTACCCCCTACCCCTACCCCTACCCCTACCCCTACCCCCTACCCCTACCTCTACCCCTACCCCTACCCCTATCCCTATCCCTACCCCTACCTCTACCCCTACCCCTACCCTTACTTTTACCCCTGCCTCTACCCCTACTTTTTACCCAAGCCTTACTCTTGCTCTTTTACCTTTGCCTTTACCTCTACACTACCCTTACATCTGCCTTGCTGTTACGTTTGCCTCTGCCCTTACCTCTACCCTGCTCTTACCTCTAACCCTGCGCTTACTTCTACGCCTACTTTTATCTCTACCTTGCTTTTACCTCTACCCTTACTTGTGCCCTTATTCTTACTTCTACTGTTGCTTTTAGTTCTACTATGCTTTTATCTTACCTTACACTAATTTGTTTTTTTCTACTTTTCTTTGTTTCACCGTTCTTTGTAGTTTTCTTTATGCTTCACTATCGTATTATATACCTATTATCACCTTCATGGCAACAGTATAATTTTTTAAAAGTTGATTTGTAGTTTCTTAAAACTCATGGAATTTTTTGGGGTTCGTATTTTACAATTCCAAAATTGCACTAGCATACCTATACAGTGTCGATTACATTACTGATTTCCGGTTTTCTACTGGTTTTTGCGAAGACTGTTGACCTTGTTTTACCTTTTCTTACCTTTTCCATTGTTTTCACTTTCGGCGGTGAAACGGCGCTGAAACGCTTTGAAACCGGCATTCTGAAGCCGGCTGAAGCTATGAGATTGGCATTGGAATGGTCGATCTTATACTTGGTATTTGTGTTGATTGGTAAGGGGTTTTGATGTAAAATACGTATACTGAATGTAGTACCAAAAATTTTGAAGTTTAAAAAAATTTAAAATTAAAAAAATGATAAATTTTAGGTACAACAAAAGCCCAAATAAGGCTCTCAAGCCAGTTGAATTGCAATTTTGAAGAAGATTGTCGATGGCAAAATTCGACTGGTCATATGGGGCAAATTGGCTGGGCGATTACTAATGATATCATACCAGATGATCGGTTTCCGGCCACTATGTCTAAGAATGATGAAGGTAAAGTTAAAATATTAATTTTTATTTTGGGAAGAAAGTTCTCGCCATTTTTTGATTTGGAAAGAAAGTTCTTGCTATTTTCGAAGTTGTAAAGAAAGTTCTTGCAAGTTTTTGTTTGGAAAGAAAGTTTTTGCGATTTTTCGTTTTGTAAAGAAAGTCCTTGCCATTTGAAACAAAGCAAGCTATTTATAGGCTTTGCAAGCTGCGAGTGACAGCTTATACGATAAAAAGTTTTTTCGTTTTGGAAAGAAAGTTCTTGCCATTTTATGTTTTTTAAAGAGAGTTCTTTCCATTTTTTGTTTTGTAAAGAAAGTTTTTGCCATTTTTGGTTTTGTAAAGAAAGTTCTTGCCATTATTATTGAAATTTTAGGAAACTCATTTGCCTACACTTTTGGTCCACCAGGAATGCATCAAATCGAGCTGATAAGTGACATTGTCGACTGTCAATTAGGTGGTGCTAAACTCTCATTCTGGTATTATTTCTCTGGTCCTCATTCGGCATTGGATGTGTGTTGTCGTTGGCCGCCGGGCAATAATGATCCTGACCATAAAAAATGTTTCGAGCCTACAGTAGGACAGAACAGAGCACAACAGTGGACGTTTGCTAGTGTTGAGTTGCCACCGATTTCACAGAGCATGGAGGTAGGTAGTTTGGGGAGGGTGGGGTAGGGTAGGGTACGGTAGAATAGAGTGGTTACAGGGTATAATAGTGCATGTTAGGTACGGTATTTTAGGGTATGGCAGGGTGTGGTATATTAAGGTATGTCATGGTAGGGAATATCATAGTAAGATAGGGTACGGTAGGAAAGGGAGGGTAAGGAATGACATGCTAGGGTAGGGCAGGGCAGGGTCTTGTAGAACTTGGCAGGATACGGTAGGGAAGGGCAGGACAGGGTAGGGCAGGGCATGGAATGGTAAAAATAAGGTACAGTAGGATAATGTATTGTAGGGTGGGGTAGTGTATCATAGGATAGAGTAGGGTAGGGCAGGGTAGGGTAGGGTAAAGTATGGTAGGGTAGGGTACGGTAGAGTACGATACGATAGAGTACGATAGCTTAAAGTAGAGAAAAGTAAAGTAAAGACGTTTTAACGTATATATTGCTTTAGATAGTATTACGAGCCCGATTCGAAGCACCAAAAGATGTTGTGGCCATTGATGACATAAAATACGAAGCTATTTTGTGTGGTAAACAAAATATATGATTTAAAATTTTTTATTTATAAATTGAATTTTAATTATAAAAGCTTCAAAGAAAATTTCAGAAAGCACTCACCGCTGGGGTTCAGCATCGGGCGGTGGTGGAGCCATTGGAGACCCAATGGAACCCGCAAACCTGTTGAGGCAACTGCCAACTCAAAATGGATTGAAAACCTTGGATATGAGAGGTACTTTGCTCAGCAGTGAGGGTGTGAATTCTAATGGTATGGATTGAATTTTAAATTTAAAAAAAATTTAAAATAAAAAAAATTAAAAAAAAATTTTTTTTAAAAATTAAGTTTTTTTAAAAATTATAGACATCTTGATAGTACAGTTCTGGCTTTAATCATAATTTATGACAAATGTAAATAAAACCCTTGGGAAGGTGTATATAAATAGTAATTTTACCGCTTTTTAGTCCCAAAGTCTCCATTTTCAACTGATTTCGAATACGATACAATAGGTTTCAAAGCCTCTGATGATGAATTACAGAGAATTCACTCAATAGCAGTTGATGGTAATTGTAATTACAATTGCAACTTCGATGACAATGTAAGTTGGTTTTTGGGCAAGTATAGTATAAATGGGATGAGGTTAGGACATGGTGGGGTAAAGGTGTGTTAGAAGTAAGCCGGGTTAAGGGATGGGATAGAGGAGGAATAGAGGCAAGGGGTGGGGCGATACAATATGTAGAGGTACCGGTGGGGGTAGTGCGTGATAGGATAAAAATGGGGGTAGATAAGGTAAGTCTGGGCGTAGGGGTTAGAGATAGCTGTAGAAATAGAGGTATGGCTAAGAGTAGAGGTAGAGGTAGGGCTCTGGTCTTGGGCTCTATGCTAGTTCTCTGGGCTAGGGCTCTAGACTAGGTCTCTGGGCTAAGGCTTTGGGCTAGGGCTCTGGGCTAGGGCTTTGGTTTAGGGTTCTGGGCTAGGGCTCTGGGTTAGGGTCTGGGCTAGGATTCTGGGCTAGTGCTAAGGCTAGGGCTCTGAATTAAGACTCTGTGCTAGGGTTCTGGGCTTTGGACTAGGACAAGGGTAAGGGTAGAAATTAATAAAGTTTTTCTTTTTCAGAATCTATGTAACTTTACTATACCATCAGTTACTGAACTATCTTATGTTGGCATATGGGAGCTGAGGAGAGAAGCCATGTATAACTCAATTACTGGCATTAAAGAAGATGTTAGTAGAGGTAAGGTATTTATTTTCAATTTTTTAAAAATTTGAGAAAAATTTTACTATTAACAACACTGAATTTGATAGTAAAATAAGAAATCTGAAGTAAAAATAAATAAAAAATTTCAGGCGGTTTATTCCTAGCCACCGGTCCAAAATCGACCCCAGAACAAGAATATGCTCTTCAAATCAAGGTCAATCTGAATGAACCAGCCAACCTACATTTTGCTTATTACATGGCTGGGGTGAAGGGAAGACTACGAGTTTGTACTGACTTTCCAAAATTCAAAAATTGTTTATTCGAAGTCGATGGAAGTGGATTGGAAGGAGATCCGAGGAAGTGGAAAGACGCCAAAGTTAGATTGACTTCTGGGGAAAATACTGTGAGTTTTCAAAATATAGTGGCTTTTAAATGATGAGGTAGTAAGGTATGGGCTTAAACCTAAAGTTAGTATTGGGCTAGGGCGTTAGGCTTAGCCTAGAACTTAAGCTAAGTCTGGGAATTAGTTGTAGACTTGGCCTTAGTCTAGGACTTGTGATAGAGCCTTTGCCAAGGCTTAGATTAGAGGCAGGGCTGAAGATAGGGCTAATGTTAGGGCTGAAGTTAGGGTTGAGATTGAGGCTTAGGTTAGAGCTGGGGCTAAGGCTAAAACTAGGACTAGAGTTAGGTTTAGGGTTAGTGCCAGAGCTAGGACTTAGACACGACTGGCTAGGGCTTATGTTAGGCTGGGACTTAGGCTATGGCGTAGGCTACGGCTTAGACTGGTTCTTAGGCTAGGGCTTAAGCGAGGAGTTAGGCTACGGCTTAGGCTGGGCTTAGGCTAAAGCTTTGGCTAAAGCTAGGTTTAGGCTCAGGCTAGGTCTTAGGATGATAGATTAGGCTTAGGCCTTTAGTTCAGGCTTAAATATTTTCATTTTAGCTAACAATTGTGGCCGACAAGCTAGCCAAGAACTACTTGATTGGTGTAGATGAATTTCGGTTTTTGGACGAATCGGATTCAAGGCCGATTCAATGTTGAAACATGCCATTTTGACATGATTTCTTAAATTCCCTCTGTCCATAATAATTTTTAATATTTAAAAAATTAAAATTTTTATTCAAGAAATAAAAAAATATCAAAAAATGATTAAAATTTGATTAAAATTTGGCCAATAAAGCAGTAAAAACCATGAATCCTAGCCCAAACAAGCTCAACCCTGACGATGAAGCTGAATTCCAGTAGCGTTGTTGCTGAGGATCGTTCATCGCTGGGAAACGAGCGTTGCCATACTCTTGATTGTCTTGTTGGAATTGTCCACCATATGGGTGTTGTCCACCTGCTCCACCGCCATTGGCGAAGCCAAATTGAGTGTTCTGCATTTCGTATAAGGAGGAGTCTTGGTTCGAGGAGTAGGCGCCGTATTGCTACAAGATTTTGGATTAGAATTTTGTAAAGAAAGTTCTTGCTATTTTTGTTTTGTAAAGAAAGTTTTTGCCATTTCTTGTTTTGTAAAAAAAGTTATTGCCGTTTTTTGTTCTGTAAAGAAAGTTTTTGCCATTTTTTTGTAACGAAAGTTTTTGCTATTTTAAGTTTTGTAAAGAAAGTTCTTACCATTTTTAGTGTTGTAAAGACAGTTTTTACCATTTTTGGTTTTGTAAAGAAAGTTTTTGCCATTTTTTGATTTATCATGAAACAAAATATGATCGAAAACGAATACGGCGTATTTTACCCACCCTAAACCTAGGTCGAGCGCCAAAAGCGAACGGTTGGTTGAGTTGTTCTTTTACCGGTGGTGGGATCGTTTGAACACTGAATTCTTGTTCTTGAGCCCATAAGGCGGCAGGGACTAAGGCCAAAATCAACAAGTAGTTCATTATCTATAAGTAAAATACTATTTAATTAAAACTTAAAAAAATCTTGGTTGATCTCATGGTTAATATAATACAAATCAATCTCATGGTTAATATATAAAAAGTTGGATCAATCTCGACTGATCAAACATGAAAATCAAAAAATCTCAAAACGGGACGTCAATAAGGAGACAAGCGCAAACAAATCCAAAGATAAATAGATAATTTGGGAGGGCACGGGTTCGGTGATTCATGTTCACGTGATTAGCTACAAGATGCTAGGCTTACACGGGTAAAATACGCAGGAACATTTGCTTCTTTTACAGCTAACTTCTTTCGTAGTAAGTTGTATAAAAAGTAATGAGCTATGTTATTCATAGCAATATTATTTTCAGTAGCTCATTACTTTTTATACAATTTAATATAACGTTTGAGGGACTAAATCAAGGCGCCAGATTATATTTTTATATAAAACTGTCATTATGTCGTATATTTAGAAAAAGCTGTCATTAATACCTATTTCCTAGAAAACTTGTCATGATGACACTTTTTCTCTTAAAGGATTGCCTTTTAAAAATTACTTTATTGAAAAATAGGACATGATGACATTTCTACAAAAACTTTTTTAAAGGCGTTTTTTCCTAAAAAAGCAGTCATCATGACACATTTTTTGTGAAAGTCGTGACCAGTTGTACGACAGTTTTTGCAAGGATTTCTACTCAACCCTACCCTACCCTACAGTAAACTATAAGTACCACGATTTACTGTAATTTACTCTGACTAGCCCTAATGTCTACTCAAGCTAAACAAAACACCGTTTAACCCAAACCTTTTGACGTTTCAAAACGTCCCCAACCACTATATAAAAAGCGGCCCAAACACAAGCCTTGAGCGCAAAAGCAAACGAAACTTAAGGTTAGGCCAAACAACGATTTGATGAGTTGAACAAAGTTTTCGGATCGCAAAAACAATTGTTATATAAACAAATTTGACTTTATAATTGTCAAACAGAAAAAATATAGTATAGTACAAATTGCTTTAGGCTATAAAAAGTTAAGGTAATGTAAGGTGAAGCTAATAAGAAGAGCTGAAGGTAGGGCAGTGTAAGGTAGAGTAGGGTACGTTACAGTAAGTAAGGTAGGGTAGGATATGATAGAATAGAATAAGGTAGGGCAGTGTAAGGTAGAGTAGGGTACGTTACGGTAAGTAAGGTAGGGTAGGATATGATAGAATAGAATAAGGTAGGGCAGTGTAAGGTAGAGTAGGGTATATCGCAGTAAGTAAGATAGAATATAATAAGTAGGACAGTGTAAGGTAGAGTACGATGCAGTAGAGCAAGTAAGTTAAGGCAAAGCTTCAAAATTAAAAAAAAATTAAAAAAAAGTTTTTTTTAACATAGTAAAATACGATTTATTACCTTTAAATTATATACCAAATTTCTTAAATTTTAAATGTAAAAAAACCAACCAATAAAAAATTAAAGAACATAGAATAATATAATCTTGGTCCAATTCAATACGTCGTCCACTGAATAAAGCATATCGAATTGCACCTTATGATTATACTTGAATTGTGCAAACTTAAAAAGACAAAACCTGTCCGAATAACGGTATATTTAAACAGTGTTGTTTTAAAAATCAGCTTTTATTCTAATACTACAACCTAGCTCTAGTCCTAGCTCTAGCTCTAGCAATTAAACCATGGGTTTATCTCCATATGATGTTGTGTTGCACTTCTATGGTATTATATCTTACTTTTTGAAGGTAAATTGTTTATATTTGATCTTTGGGCTGTTGAAATGATATTTAAGGTAATATTGTCTTGTTTGTACCTGTAGAATTTTGCTTTGAGTATAAATGAACTCTACTTCTAGCTCTAGCTCTGCGTCCGGCTCTGGTGCTGGCTCTATTTTTAGCTCTAGCTCGAGTTATATGCCTAAATATTTTTTCATACTTTTAGTTTTTGCTAACTATGATATTAGTAGTCTTATTGATAATTATACCCTATAATATAATCTTGGTAAAATACACTTTGATTTACTGTCTCTAATTTTTCTTACGTTCATTATGTTTTACTCTGTATCTAAAATTTTGATGTTATAGTAGCTGTTTATTTTTTCTATGATAATTCTTATTTATAATTAACATGACGTTAGACAGATTTATAGTAATCAAAGTTTATTTCAATAAAAATAAGCAAGTGTTTATACATTATAACAAAAAAGTTATTAATTTACACTTTTGTATTACAAAGACAGTATAATATCAAAGTATAAATTTAAAAAAATAAAATTTCACTTATTCCAAGCATTTTTGAGTTGCTCAAAGTAGACCTCGGCAGTGTTAATATCGTCTAACTTGTTTGGCGTTCGTGGTATTTGCCAGCATAAAATACGATTCAAATCTCGTTGAAAAGCCGCTTTAACAGCTGGGTTGTAGCATAATATGCATAACAAATGGCACAGGGAATAGATGTCCACTATTAAGAAGCCAATCTGAAATTTTTTAACACTTTTTGGTAAAATACGGGCACTAGGACACTAGGGATAAAACAGTTATATTGTAAAACTTGTACTTATGATAAAAGTATAAGATCAATAATGGTAAGCTGTTAAGGTATGTAACTGGTAAAGTAAAAATAAGTGTTACAGGTTATCGTGATGACATTTCGCGACATTAAACTTTAATTTTTGTTTAATTTCACAAAAATTTAATCAACTATTTGTACTTTAAGACAATGCGTGACAAATGTAGCAACATGTCAAAGATACTTTAAAATATGCACATCGTATGGCTTTGTGGTCATCTATGTTACAGTAGATATAACTACACAAATACAAACTTACATCGCCCAGAAACCGTGAGTATACAGTATGATCACCGTACTTTTGTGCCAAAATACCACGGACGATTCCAGCCGCCAATCCCATCCAAGCAGCGACGACAAAGGTAGCCATCGATGGGAATATCGAAGCAGTAGTATGAGAGTTCTCGGTAGCTTGAAAACGAGCACTTAAGCTTGTTAAGCTTAATCGATTCATCAGGCCGTGCTTGGTCTGCTTTCGAAGGGCCGCGAACCACTGGAAATTTTAACAAATTGGTTTTTGAAAAAATGTCAAACTCAATTTTAAAATGTATTATTAAAAGCGTTGAAATCTCTAGTTCTAGTTCTAGCTCTAGCTCTAGCTCTAGCTCTAGCTCTAGCTCTAGCTCTAACTCTAGCTCTAGCTCTAACTCTAACTCTAGCTCTAGCTCCAGTTCTAGCTCTAGCTCTAGCTCTAACTCTAGCTCTAGCTCTAACTCTAACTCTAGCTCTAGCTCCAGTTCTAGCTCTAGCTCTAGCTCTAGCTCTAACTCTAGCTCTAGCTCTAGCTCTAGCTCTAGCTCTAGCTCTAGCTCTAGCTCTAGCTCTAGCTCTAGCTCTAGCTCTAGCTCTAGCTCTAGCTCTAGCTCTAGCTCTAGCTCTAGTTCTAGCTCTAGCTCTAGCTCTAGCTCTAGTTCTAGCTCTAGTTGTAGCTCTAGCCCTAGCTCTAGCTCTAGCTCTAGCTCTAGCTCTAACTCTAGCTCTAGCTCTAGCTCTAGTTCTAGCTCTAGCCCTAGCTCTAGCTCTAGCTCTAGCTCTAGCTCTAGCTCTAGCTCTAGCTCTAGCTCTAGCTCTAGCTCTAGCTCTAGCTCTAGCTCTAGCTCTAGCTCTAGCTCTAGCTCTAGCTCTAGCTCTAGCTCTAGTTCTAGCTCTAGCTCTAGCTCTAGCTCTAGCTCTAGCTCTAACTCTAGCTCTAGCTCTAACTCTAACTCTAGCTCTAGCTCCAGTTCTAGCTCTAGCTCTAGCTCTAACTCTAGCTCTAGCTCTAGCTCTAGCTCTAGCTCTAGCTCTAGCTCTAGCTCTAGCTCTAGCTCTAGCTCTAGCTCTAGCTCTAGCTCTAGCTCTAGCTCTAGTTCTAGCTCTAGCTCTAGCTCTAGCTCTAGCTCTAGCTCTAGCTCTAACTCTAGCCTTAGCTCTAACTCTAACTCTAGCTCTAGCTCCAGTTCTAGCTCTAGCTCTAGCTCTAGCTCTAACTCTAGCTCTAGCTCTAGCTCTAGCTCTAGCTCTAGCTCTAGCTCTAGCTCTAGCTTCGGACTCAGTTCCGGTTCTAATCCCGACCCTAACCCCTGTCTTAACCCCGACTCTAGCACCCGCTTTATTCCCGGCCCTAAAGCATGCACCTTTTATGAATGGTCTATATTAAACTACTCTATTCTTCCATATCTTACCTTGGCTTGCTTTTCCCTTTACTATGTCGAACTGTACCTCAACTAAGCTTCATTTAAAAAACAAAAAAAAATTTGAAATTTTTATAAGTTTTTAAGTTTATAAAAAAACTTACCGCCGCGCCAATCAAACAAGAATTAGAAGACAAAGCAAACCCAGCCACTTCATATTCCCAATTGACATGAATGGGGATACAGCTCATTCTTGACGTATTTAGATCGAAATCGTCTAGATATATCAAGAAGAAGTACCATGATACGATGCCTACCGTAATGCTTACACCTAACTGAAATTGAAATTGCATTATCTTACTGCATTTATAAAAAGCTAGGTAAATATAATAAATATAGTAAGTAATGAGCAAAATATACTATCAGCATACTCTGGTATTATAATATTACATATATATAACTTACCATAATAAATATCAAAGTAAAAGCAAATGTTTTTGCTTTAGTTTCATATATATCTACCCAATTGTAAGCCAGTTGACGCTCCACAGCCAACATTAACATTGAAACAGCAGCATCTATCACAGCGATGTTGTTGACAATACCTATTACAACACAACCAATATTTGTGACATATCGGTTTTGATTGTTAATAGTAATGTCGTTGTAGTAGTGACCTAACAGTAGGGTAATGTGCATTAGTTCCATCGATATTACTGTGTTGCACTGTAAATGATAATATATATGTAGGGTAAGGTAAGGTGAGGTAAGTTAAAGTAAAACAGGGCAAAGGCAGGGCAAAAGCAGGGCAAAGGCAGAGTAAAGGCAGGCCAAAGGCAAGGCAAAGGCAGGGCAAAAGCAGGGCAAAAACAAGGCAGAATATTTTACATACACGTACTTTGGTAAGTACCCTGGGACATGCTATGTACAAACAATAACATTAATGACGTAAATGGCATGTCAAAAACTATTTACCGGCCGCACTTACTACAGTAATTCTAAAGTTCAAGTGTAATGTAGACAAAGTGCTAATACGTAGTACATAATAGATTTTAAGCACCAGACTGAATACTGCAAACCATCGATATGCCACGGTAAAGTTGTCGTAGTAAAGCCCGTATTTGTCAAAATCCGGTACCAAATCCATGTTGTCCCACTCTCTAGCCATGCCATAAAATCGTTGTATGAGTCTTTCGGTACATTAGCTAAAAATTGGTTTTACTATAACATGACTATATACCACAGTAATTAATTACATTGTAAATTATAATACATTTCTCGGTCCGATTTTAATGTCAGAACACAAAGATGGTAAGGTAGTGTAATCAAAAAGTCAATTTCAAAAAACCCCGCCTAATTTGAGCATGGTAATCGGTCATCCATCAGACGTGGCATGACAATGAAAAATGGCAACATTTCCCAAACCCAAGACCAAATACTAATATGTGCTAAATTGATTACCAAAAAACAATGAAACGCAATGTTGAAGTTGAAAAAAAAACGTTATTAGAAATGGCACAGTGAAAAAGTGTAATGAAAAAAATTATTGGAAAAACTGACATTTTGAAAAAAAAAATTTTAAACAAGTCACATGAATAAAACAATGTTATAGTAAAGAAGATAGATCAGAGTTGAATTGGGTAGGGTGGGATAACGTAAGAAAGAATAAGGTAAGGTCAGACAGGATAGGCTAGAATAGAGCCAAGCAAAGTAAGATTTTGTAGAAAACGACAGGGTACAATAGAGTATCGTGTAGTAGGGTAAGACATGCTAGAACTGAGTAGGATAAGGTAGAGTAAAGAAAGATAAGGTAGGGTAATACAGTCAGTGTTTTGCCGGACCGGTCCGGTCCGGATTTAAAAAATTGCAAACTTGAAAATAATTTTTTAGCTTATGGTTTGAAGTTTTAAAAAATAAATAACTTTTGTGAAGGTCCGTATTCGGCTATCAATTTATTACCGAAATGGACCACCCGGACCGGCAAGACCGATTCGGTCCGGCCGGTCCAAATGTTTAGCGAGGAACTTGCATGAGCCGGACCTTCACAAAAGTTATTTATTTTTTAAAACTTCAAATTATAAGCTCAAAATTTGTTTCCAATTTTGGAATTTTTGAAAATCCGAACCGGACCGGACCCGGTCCGGCAAAACACTGAATACAGTAGAACTCCTATATAACAAACTCCTCTATAACGAAAATCCCGTATAACGAACAACTTTAGAATCTCCATCTACCACTAAACAGTGCATTTAAAACTCTTGTATAACGAAACTCCTTTATAACGAATAAACTTCAAGTCCCCGAGCGATTCGTTATTAGGCCCTGACTGTATATGATAAAACAGGTACTGTTAGGGCACGACAGAGTTAAATAAGACAAGCTAAAGCCGGGTAGGGTAGCATAGGATATGTAATGTCAAAATCAGAACACACAACGTTTTTAAAAAATTTAAAAAGCAGAACCATAACTGGAAGGTAAAGTCATAACAACAAAGTAAAGTCACAAAAAAACATCTAAAAGAACGTAGAACTTTGAAACAAGCATTACAAATGAAAAAAGTTATTAAGAATGTTAATGTAAATTACTTTCGGCACGAAACATTGTATACCCAACAAACATTAAAGAAAGTTAGTAGGAAAGTAAGTAATGGCAGTACACCATAAACACGCTTTCAAAACATTGTGCAATACCTAAGTTTCTGGGTAATAAAATATTACCAAATTTATTAAGATTAGACTTAGGCCTAAGAAACAGCTGACTAGGCGGGGTCTGATTCTGGTCTAGCCTGGTTCGGCTTAGGCCGCCCTATATCATAACAAATTTGAAATAAAACAAGACGAGTCAGGCCATGTAGGCTGAAGAGACTAAATAAATGCGTTCAAAGCTTTGCCGTCTTTTCCCAACCCGGACCGGTTCACAAAAAACTTTTGCAAAATGTTTTGGCAGATACAGAAACTTGGTTCACAGAATAGTAAAGGTAACACTGCTACTCAAAAAAGTTCTATACATAAAAGGTTGTTCAAATACAAACCATAACTTGAAAGCATGACTTAGTGTGATTAATAAGTCATGCGATATAATATTGAAATAGGCCTATTTACTAATTTAATTATGTTTTAGTTTTATAAAAGGTGAGAGGTAAGATCAAAGAGGTCAAAGTATACTGTTTTAAGCTAGCTGGCAGGTGTTACAGATGGCTACTTGGTTTAAAAAATTTTAGCATGTACTCCTAACAATAAGAAACATATATATTCATCAAATTAATACCTATAAATAAATAATGTATAACACAAAACTATGTAAAAATCTCCACCCACAACTTGCATTTACTTTTGAACTAATAACTAAATCAAAGTACAAATTTACAACTACTAATTAGAACTTTTTTGCCAATTTACAATTAGGCACATCATTAAAATTATTCACCATATCTCACTGTATCATACCGTTCTGTATCCTATCATACCATAGTCTACTATATACTGTTACATGCTACTATACCCTACCTTGCTCTATCGTACTTTACCTTACCCTGCCCAACTCAGCTCTCTTTTTCTTCACTATATCTTCCTCGGTCTAACCAACGCCTTTCTCTACTTTTGTCTTTTCTTCTAGCAACACGCCCTGTCTATGCCAGTACTGTAATTATAATATATATAACAGTCAGACAGCCCAAAGTACTATCAAAATTATACCCATACATCACAAAATCTAAGTGAAATGACAATGAGACTTTAAAACAATATAAGATGTTTAAATATCTTTCACTTATTGTACTATAAACTTAACAGACCACACAAGCTACCAATATGGCAATATGTGCGTTTTTCCGTCCCATTTTGATGTAACAACACAAAAAATTGTAACCTACATTGTATTGTTACTTTTTATAGCTTTTTAATTGTATTTGTTTTTTCTGTGGCTACGACAAAATTTTTTTATAATTGTGACAATTTCACAGAAAATAAGGTTTTTTGGCAATAACACTATATAAATGTTAAAACTAGAGTTAGGACGACAGCTAGGGATTGCTGAGGTACTAAGGACTAGCCTAAGCAAGACCTGGAATGGCAGAGAAAAGCCAAGGCAAAGCATGGCAACGCAAGAGAAGATAGGATAAAAAAAGGCTAGGGTCTCGGTTAGAACTCAGAGCTCAAGGGTTCGAGGATCAGGGCTTAGAACGAAATTTGTTTAACTTAGAAACACGCCGGGTCGGACCGGGCCCGGGCTTTGATTTTAGACGCGACCTGACCTTAATTTTGCTCAAAGCCGGCCCGGCTTGTTTCTCATTTTTCGGGCCAGGGCTCTGGGCTAGGGCTCTGGGCTAGGGCTCTGGGCTAGGTTTCTGAGCTAGGGTTCTGGGCTAGGTTTCTGAGCTAGGGTTTTGGGCTAGAGATCTAGGCTAGGGCTCTGGGCTAGGGTTTTGGGCTAGGGCTTTGAGCTAGGGCTCTAGACTAGTCTAGGATATTTTATCCTATAGGTGGCCGCCCAAGTGCAACATTATACTGTATAAACTTATAGTTCAAGCTAGTTTACCCTACCACATATAAATTACAATTGTCTACTGTGTAGTTCAGCAAAATGTTAATTTATACCTTATAAAATTTAAACTTGTTCAACTTTTGCATACATAATAAAACTGTCGGGTTCAAAAAAGCGACCTCCTACATGGAACGAATACAAATGTTGAGACATCAAAAAAGTTTCATTTCATCACATCATGCTGTTCTTTCAGCCTTGTTTATTACAATATAAATCTTAAAATACTTAATTTAAAATATTTTTTACAAAATTGAAATGCCATTTTTTAAATATTAAAAAATGTAAATTGTTGAACATAGAACTAGCCAAACGTATGAATGCAACGTTTAAGTATTATAAATTACTATGTACTTTGACTATTCTAGTTATAAGTAATCTATAATTTATCGTTTTTGTTAATCTTCTGACTTATATAAAAGGGCAAAGTATGAAATTGGCAACATCATTTTATACTTTCAAACACGTAGCATGCTATTAAATTTACAAGTACAGTGAAACTTTTGTGTCATCAACTCCTCTAGAAAAATCATTTATAGCAAACAAGCTTAAAGTCTTTGAGCAATCAACTGTAACAAATTTATATTGGTTAAACAAAAAAAAATACGGATATATAATTTTGAACGAATAAACATAGCTCTATGTGATGTGGCAAGTTTTTTTTAAAGTTTTTTTTAAATTTGTAATCAAAACTTTTAACATTTTTTTATTACAGGCTATATACCCTGCTGTTGGATATTCGTAATTGAATTTAAAAGCAATGTTTTCAATTGAGCATGGCCTTTGCTTGTTGGAAGATTTGAAAAAATAGGACTTTTGATTCTAAATTGATATTAGTAAACATAAAAACAAAAAAAAAACAATTTAAAACCAAGATAAAGAAAAATATTTAACAAAATTTAACTTTTGTTATATATTGTGGTAAAAAGCGTATTCACCTGAATGTGCGGGTGTTTTTTGAGCGCATGCATAATTTTTGAACGTTTGTTTTACCAAAATATTAAAAAACTCTAAAAAATTACTGAACCTAATATATATGTTAATTTTTTTACTTAGTAACTGTACATTATGTATTTAACAATTAGGTTTGTTTACGATAATGTTATTCTTAACATTTGTTCAAACTTAACCTTTAATTCCAGTTTAGGCCTTAGCTTACAAATAATATATTACTGCGATTCATTTACATGGCGATTCATAATATATTGCCGTATTGCTTAATATTATATTATAACTAAATAGCCTTAAAGAAATTGCAAGAAATGGTGTTACGCAACTTTTTCTTATGTAAAATTGGTAATTTTTTGTCACACATGCTTCGATGTAAAACGACCCAACAAATTACTGCTAGTACTGGGATTTATACTTGTTTTTCTTCAAGATATCTTATGTACTATTACTTCATTTTTCTTATAATTCTTGAAGATTTCATGGTAGTGTATTGTAGAGTGTACTAAAAAAAAGTAGAGTAACACAATGTAGAATATGGTAGGATAGTGCACTGTAGTGTATAATAAGGTTGCGCAGGGCAGGGTAAGTAGAGCTAAAACAAGGCAAAGGCAAAGCAAAGGCAGGGCAAAGGCAGGAAAAAGGCAGAGCAGGCAGGAAAAGCTCAACTACAGAAAGTTTTAAAATTACTGTACATCAGCCCAATAATTTAATTTATTTACCGTAACAGTAACCTCCAATGTATTTCAATTAAAATCGCAGTAAATAACCATCTATTAATTACTCTGCCATTCTTTCCTGTAGGGCTCTGTTTTGTTTTCGTATTTTGCGGTTGTCGCGGTATTCCAAACATCGCTGGCACACCCGCAGACGTATCATCACCCCCAATGCGACAATTAAAGCCGGGATCCCAGCGAAAACAAACAAAATGGTTCGAAATTCCTCCGGCGTCACCGGGCTACGCTCGCCCAAAGTGGCACTTTTGCCCGAGGAAAAGGCATTCATTGCTGTATTCGTTCCACGATGAGGCATTTTTCGGCGTTGATATGGTCTGAAATGTCAGTATAAATGAAATTTGTAAAATAAAATTAAAAATTTTTTTTTAATTTTGAAATTAAAAAATTAAAATTAAAAAAAATTTTTTAATTTCGAAAAATCAAAAAAATTTTAAAAAGAACTTTTCAAAATTAAAAAAAAATTTTTTTTTGTCACACCCCATGTAAAAAACCTTTAAAATTGCCAAACTTGGTAACATTATGCTAAAAAATGTCTTTATTCGTCTTCTTTTTTGCACGACTTTAAAGGGATCATTTGAAATTTGAGCACAAACAGCACGTCATATAAACAAAAAGTCTGCTTTATATGTAAAACATGTAGTACATAAAACAAACCCACGTTTATCTTACTGTTCTTAAAACATTTTATAATACGTACTATCAAGGCCGGGTGCTGGGGAGAGGGGAGTGGACGCAAAAAAGTTGAACGTGGTCCCTCCTGTAGATTTTTGGAAAAAATTTTTTCGACCCCCGCCCCCTGACCAAAAGTCCTCGCCCGACCCTGCGTACTATCAAAAATACCGTCTAAAGAACGAAAGAGAAACCAAAAAATATTTTTTTTTGAAAATTTTGAAAAAAGTCAACTTACCCTTATTTACTGAATATTATTGTAGACATGTTTAGCTTAGAAAATGTGAAATGTGTGTTTAGGATTTGAAGTTGCCACTTGATGTGTTGAACGAAAGGAATTGTTTCTAAAAGCCAAAACAATATTAAAATTTAAAATTATTGATTAAAAAACGTGTAACAGAACTTTTGGTGCACCCTGTGCAAAAAGAATAGAATAAAGTAAAAACGATTTGGACTGAGTGGGGTAAGGTAGGGTAGAGTAGGGTAGGCTAAAATAGGGTAGATTAGGTACCATAAAACTTGTAACAAACATCAAAAATTTGTTTTTATGTTAAAAAAACACCTGTGATTACAAAAAATACGAAAGAATTTTTATAAAATTTGAAAAGTAAAAATTTTAGCCTTTTCTTTACGTTATAATTGCCAGTAAACAAGATTGTAAAATATTATGTCTTTATAAACGAATTTACATCCGCCAGCTCTTTAATACGACTGAATCTGCTTTACGTTACAAAAAGAAGATTATATATAATAAATGAGTTGTTAAAGAATAAAAAGTAAAAACCTTAATTAATTTTAAAAATTTAAAAATGCAGTGGAACACAGAGATTAAGAGCTTCTGTATAGCAAATCACTCTATAACCATCATCTGATAAATCAGCTGTTAACAATACACAGTGCATTTAAAACTCCTGTATAACGAAAATCCTTTATAACGAACAAATTTCAAGTCTCCGAGCGATTCTTTATACAAGAGTTCCACTGTATTGTATAACAAAACTCGTTTATGTCAAACCCTTTTAAAAACATCGAGTTATTCGTTATACAATATCCTGAAAAAAACACTGTAGTTTGTCATATCTTTAAAAAGTAAAAACAAAAATGAATCAAAGTAAAAGAAGAACAAACTTTTTAAAAAGCTGCCAAAAGAGAGTCAATTTAGAGTGCTTCAAACAGACACATCATTATGAAAAATTGATCTTGTACTTGTCGTATAATTTCAGAAAGCTAATCTTTATTAAAAATTTTTAAAATCAAAAAAATGTCTAAAAAAATAAACAACTAAAATTTTTTCTGAAGCTTCAAAAAACTATTAAACCTAAACATTTTTGTTATACAGCGGTTTTAAATGCATGGTTTTAAATGCGTTAAATGCAATGAAAAGAATTTACAGAAAAGGTATTCTACCTGCCCTGCTCTGAATCAGCTCAAAATTTTTACATGATTTCTTTGTACTACCAATAGTACCCATAAAAAATTTTAGCGCGCGTTTGGGTTTTACAGGGTGCGACAAAAGTAAATTTGAATTATTATATTTTCCCACCTATTTGGCAAAGTTGACATTGTGTTTCAAGCATTTTTTTTGACTTTCCGGGCAAGCTACGCTTAAAAATTTAAAAATGTAAGTTCATTTAAAGGTATTCCACTAGTATATTAAAGAAAAATTTTTAAACTTCAAAAAATAACAAAGTTATTAGAAGCAAAAAAAAACTTTTTTAAACCCCTAAAAAATACCTAAGTCCATAAAGAAGTAACTTTCTTTGGCAAAATAATACGTCTTTAATCTAGGGTAAGGAAGCATAAAACCCCTCCTCCTCGGGGTTTATAATATTTACGAAAACAAAAGACGGAAAGGCCAAAAAGTGAGAGCAAGGACAAGAAGAATGAACGGATGTCCTCGGCTCTCCCCCCCCCCCTTTTTTCGTTTTTCTCATACCCAAATTTGTAATCTAATTAAAGTGGAGTTTTATAACATTGGATAAGTTAGAGTAAATGTAATAGCATGTGGTGGTGGTAGGTAGGTTAAAGGAGGTACTATAAGAGAGAGTATAGAGTACAGTAGGTACTATACTATTATAGAGCGAATAAGTTAGAGTAAGTCTTATAAGTTCTAGAAGGCTAGATAGGTCAGAGAACGTGCTATAGAAGAGTGAGTATGTTAAAGTAGATACTATACTATTAAGAAGTGAATATGTTAAAGAAGACACTATACTAATATAAACGATTAAATAAGTTAAAGTGCGTCTTATAGGTTCTAGAAGATTAGAAAGGTCAGAAAAATCATAATACTATAAGAGAGTAAGTATGCTGGCTTAGGTACTATAAGAGGTGTACTATGCTAAAGCAAATATTGTAAATAAATGTGTATGTTAAAAAGCCAATAACATGGTGAATATGTTGGAGTAGATCTTAAGATATGCTACATACTATAAGATGGTGAATATGTTAAAGTAGGTCATATAGACTTTATAATATAAGATTAGACATGTTAGAGTACGTCTGAGTAAACACGACATGGATAAGGTTAGAGTACAAGGAATTAAATTAAGGATGCGTGGCAAAAAGATTTGGTTAAGCAAAAGTTAACTTAAGAACACATTTGTAATAGTCAGGGAGAGAGAGCTGGGTAAAATAGCTACTTCTTTTCGTAGAGTTACAGTAAGAAAAATTGTGATAAAACAAGAAAAAATAGAGAAAAAATTTTTGAAACGTTCACGCCAAGCTGTATGCCAATGGCAATGCTTAGATGTTGTTCAAGTCAATTCCATTGAACACGTTGAAAGACACGAAGCCATTAGATTAGGGATAAGCTTGAATTTTTTTGACTGGACCGGGCCGGCCTAATAGAAAAATAAAAGCAGGCCGGACTTAAACGTTGGGCCCTGGGCTGGGCTTCAAAAGTATTATTTGCCGACATAACCCCTTATAGCTTTAGCTTGGCCCGTTTCTTACCCCTAGTGAGTTCAGTTCGGGACGGGTATTTGTGATAAGTGTTTTCGTATCAAATGAGAGCCGAATTAAGCTTTTATAAATACGATTATGTTACTGTAATACTAGTTTATTTTAAAAATAAACGTCTTATCATTATAAAAAATTAATTTATTAATCTAAATTTTTTTGTTTGTCGACTGAAAAAAAAATTTACTATTATAAACACTCAATGAATCAGTTTACGCTGTATTAAAAAGTTTGTGCAGTCAACATGGACGACCGACCATTTAAGCGTTGATTTTTATTTGGATAATACGACCACAACAAGTTGTACGAAAATGAGAATTCCTGGATGCTAACCAAGCCAATGCCGTTATACAAAGCATAAGGCACGTAATCAGAAGTTTCCGGAAAAGCGTTTTCATCGGCTTTAAAGTTATCAGCGACAAACCGATCGCCCAGGTATTTGTTGAGTAACCTAAAATTGACAGTTTCTTTGGTGTTAAAGAGCATTATAAGGTAGAAGTAGGCTCAGGCTAAGGCTAAAACTCTGGGCTAAGCCCAGAACTAAGTAGCTAATACTGAGAGGCTAGAGCTGAAGGACTTTGAATTAGAGCTCTGGGCTAGGGCTCTGAGCAAAGGCTTTGGACTAAGATAGAACTGAGGGACTAGAGCTGAAGGGCTGAAGGTCTGAAGGGCTGAAGGGCTGAAGGGCTGAAGGGCTGAAGGGCTGAAGGGCTGAAGGGCTAAAGGGCTGAAGGGTGGAAGGGCTGAAGAGTAGATCTGCGGGGCTAGGGCTTAAACTTTGGACTGGGGCTCCGGGTTAGGGCTCTAGTCTGAAACTCTGAGCTGGGACTAAAACTTCGGACTAGGGATCTGAGCTAAGACTCTGGGCTACTGAGAGGCTAGGGCTGAAGAGGTAGAACTGAGGGACTAAGGCTTAAGGGCTAGGGCTGAGGGGCTAGGACTAAAAGCTAGGAGCTAAAGCGTAAGATTTTAACTTTGTTTTACTTACTTAATCTCATCCACAATATTTTTCGGGATATCAAACCGTTGATTGCAAGTGTCGGCACATATTGTAACATTTTGGTTTGAAGAATCAAACACTTCCATATAGCATTTAGTCCATCTATACGAATCAACTATTACGCGACTAGCGCTACTAACGTATTTAGCGGCTTCGTAGTTTGGATTGTATACGTCCATCTTCTCCCCAAGAGGTTTGAAGTCAACTTCGAACATTCCAAGATTTGAGTAGTTTCTATACAAATCACCGGTGATTTCTTCATAACAATCGTAACAGTTGTGCTTGTAGAAGAGTGTTAGCGTAACCTTCTTGCCTGAGTTTTTAGCCAAAAAACCGCGACATAGATCACCAACTCCACAGTGATCAGCGATGGTTTCATTATCACACCACATTGGCGGTGGAATTCGGTCACAGTCTACTTCAAGCGCTACAGTAACGTGGAACAGTAGACAGAGGGCTAGAAGTTGGTACAACATAACTATTGATGGATGAATTGAACCAGCAATATGATATAGTAGTTAACACAGCGATGTATCAATATTAACAGCTTGTGGTTTGCTTTATATAACCATGTAAACCTTTGAATCTTTCGGGTTTTTCTTTGAGCATAAGGTTATATATATACAATTTTAATACCATATATTAATAAAATGTTAAAACAATATTTATCTTCTAGCATTTTGTTCAATTTTCGTTTGTAAAATTTAAAACAAATTTTCAAATCAAATGTTTTATCAATTAATAAAACTCTATAATCCGTCGCATGCAATCCAAAGACCTGAGTGGCCCGGGCAAAACAATTATCTGCGTTGGTAGGCTGTGGCGCCGCTGGCTATTCGAAAAGACCTTGGTTTGATTTCGCGCACCGCCCAACGCAGGCGCCTTGAGGAATGAGTAGTGCTGAGTGCACGGGCACTAGGCGCATCTATACTTGTTTACACGAGTATATGATTGAACGCCAGAAGTCTTATGGGACACCTCACCCATGACTAAGTGACGCGAGAAACAGTGAAATACCTGAGGAGAGGCCCAATAATGGGAAACGTCAGACTCAAGGATAGCTCCGTTTTCTTCATCTGAACCTTAAACATCCTTACGCATCAGCACTTTAAGTTACAATTTAAGGCATCAAAAATCATCTAATCTAATATATATATGTATCTCCCGAGTTGTAATTGTAGAAGTTTGAACATGCAAAGTCAATACATTTAAAATTTTTCATTTTATTTTTACTAAAAATGTTTATTTACAGGTACTGTTGCTTTCTATGGTACCTTTAAAACCTGGTTGGATAAAAGTTTAATTTTAATATAACACTCCCATACATTAGCAGTTATTTAGCTAACTTCGGTATTGTTGCTCCCAATAAAGCATTGCTGCCTCCTAGCACACTTCTAAACAATGGTCAAGGAGGTTATTTACTATCTTTTCTATTATCGCTCTCTAATGTAACAATACCATCATACGTTAGCAGTTGTACTTATTTACACTAACTTAGGTATTGTTGCTCTCCGTAACAAAATGCTGCTCCTTATAACACATTGTTGCTCCCTATACCTTCAATAATTAGCCGACACTCCTATTTACACTCGCCTTGTCATTGTAGCCAACTGATTACTATTTACACCGCAACAACCGAAACAATAACCAAGCCTCCAATGTAAATATGGGGATGGTCAAGTGGACGCGCGACTTTCCTCCTCCCCCCAACGTCCACTTCAACCTCAGCTGTGGTGAGGAACCAGGAAAAGGGTTTCCGGTTTTGGCCGGGGTTCCGGCGGAGTGAAGAGGAGAGGTCGCGACGTCTCCGCTCGGGGTTAACGCGTTCGGCGGACGCAGCCGCGGATGAGCAGCGACGTTTCCAGCGGTTTTGTCCCGCTTTTCACTTTTTGCACCCGGTTTTGATGGGATTGGGATGATCTTTGTTGGGTTTTGGGCTTATAATTACATTTTTTTAAATTTTTTTTAAAATTTTTGGTTGTTTTATTACTATAGGTTAGAATATTGTTATAGTTTAATCAAAGTTTATAAACTTTGACTAAAAAAGTTTGTCTTTTCTACCAGAATAGGAGTGAGTGAATCAAAGTTAACGTAGAATAAGATCAAGTAAGGTAGGGTTGAGTAGTCTATGGTGGGAGAAAGTACGGTAGGTAAGCTAGGATAGGCATTTAAGTCATAATAAAGTATTATAAGTTATGATTAGGTAGAGTTAGGTAAAGCAGGATAAGGTAAGATAAAGTAAATTTAAATAGAGTATGGTAGGGTAAGACAAAATAATGTGAAGCAAAGAAAAGTTGAGTTAGGTAAAGTAAGATGAAGTATTTTCTGATTACAGTATCAGTGCTAGATAAACCTGCTTCCTACACCAATATAGCTTTGATGTAGGAGGCAGGGGTGGAGTAAATTTATTTTTGTGGGCTTTGTAGGTGGAAGGCTTGCCTATTTTTCGATTTTTTAAAAGTAGATCAAGTCTGAATTTAAAAAATTTTTTAAGGCGGGAGAGGGGGGGGGGTGCGGGCGGGGGATAAGAATTTTTTATGAAAAGGTTTAAAAGAGTTTTGTGTAGTGACGTCGACAGCATAAATGTTGTTTGTTATACAAATTTAGGTTATAAAGGATATACAGAAGCTTTGCTGTGGTAATGGTTTCTGTAAAACGTTTGCTTTCAGAGGGGGCGCAGAATAAAGTGAACAACCAATTTTTTTTTCTTCAGCAATTTAGCTATACATGTATTTTACTGCACTTAAAAAACTACTGTGCAAGTTTACTAAAAAAATCAGATCATACAAAGACGTATTTTACATTTTCAGAACTTGACTTCTGGGTTATGCCTTAAAGGAATGCCGATTTTCGGACCGGATCGGACGAAACTTGGCTGGACGTTGTTACTTCTACAAGCTACTACAATGACTTTGTTGGTTTACAGTGCGGTAAGGCTTTTCTTATCAGGACTTATTGTATAAAACTTGTCTATTCTAACTCTTATTAATCAAAAACAACTATTATATGCTTTAAAAAAGTCTTGCCGTTTTTTGATATTGTTTTTTACGTTAAAAAACGACAAGACTTTTAAATCTGACTTTTAAGGTTACATCAAACCATGTCATTATAAAGTTGAATCAGTTATATTTCAGAAAATTGAAAGAATCACAAAAACATCGCAAATATCAATGAACAAGACAGAGATATCGCTATGTGAATATTACAAAGCTATTGGCAAACGGTCAGCTTATTGTGACAAAATTGAAAAAAGTAAGCTTTTTAAATTTAAAAAAAACTTTTAAATTTTGTTTATTATTAAAAAAGTAAGCTTTAAGTTCATTTTTTTATTATTTTTCAGTTATTTTTAAAAAGTGTGACATTTCGTCAATTTAGTGATTTTTTTAATAATGAAGCAAGGCAAAGTAAAAAAATAGCAAGAACAAAACAAGAGGGGCGTATTTTACCAAAAAATAAGCTTTATAAATAATTTTTTTATGTGTGACATATCGTCTAATTATTGATTTTTTTAAAACTTTAGAACTCTTGTATAACAAATCAATTGAGAATTTTAAATTTGTTCTTTATAAAGAAGTTGTTATCTTAGAAAAGTTCATTATACAAGCGTTTTACTGTATTTTTCAAGAGTGTGACATTTCGTCAACTTATTTTTTGTAAAATAATATGTATGAGCTAAAAAATATTAAAAATATGAAGAAATAATAACTAGAAGTTAGAGAAGCGTATTTTAACAAAAAAGTAATTTTTATAAATAAATTTTAATATAAAAGTGACATTTCGTTTAATTATTGATTTTTGTAATACGTAAAGCAAGATAGAGAGAAAAAATTTGAATAGGTAATAACAGCGGCTTGGAAACGTATTTCACCAAAAAATAGTTTTAATAATTCAATTTATTATCATTGTGACAGTTCGTCTAATTATTGATTTTTTTTCAAATACCAAACTTTGCAAAAATTTTGACTTTTTATCGTATTTTACATTCTTAAACTGGTTTTGGTAACAATAAAAAACAAAAAATTTAAAATAATTTTTATCTACTTCTCTCATAAAAACAAATTTCAGCCGAAGAAACCCCAAAATCGTTTAAACGTGTGCTCCTCCAACTCCGCCATGATTTTGTGTACATCCGACTCGACCGGTGATTGTGCCGAAAGTGGACAGATTTGCACACTCAGTGATCAAACAAAGTGTTGTCAAGGTATCGTCAAAGGCATACCTGTGTCAAGGATCAATGCCAAGCCCGGGGACTGTCCACAGCCGATCGGGATCAGTGGCTATTCGGACCAAAGTTCGACCGGTTGTTGGCTCGATTCGAATTGTCCTGGTGTTCAAAAGTGCTGCTTGGAGCCAAATCCGACTGCTCATAATGCGCAGAGGATATGCAGAGATCCGGTCGGGATTAGCAGTAAGTTTAAATTTAAAAAATTTTGAAAAAAATCAAAGTTTTAAAAATTTAGAAAAAATTGAACTTTTTGAAATTTCAAACTAATTTTTATTAAAACCATTTTAAAATTCCTTATTTGCATTACCTTTTATCTATTTTACACGTTACATTACTGTAATGTAAAATATTAAGCGACGCGAGAAGCGTGGGGGTATAGCTCAGTGGTAGAGCGTCCGCTTTGCATGCGGAAAGTCAGGGGTTCAAACCCCCTTACCTCCAACAGTCTTTTTGCCATTTTTTATGACGTGTTTGGTTTTGAAACATTATTTTTATTGTATAAAATAGGTTTTTTTACCCTTACAATAAGATATTTTACCAATTTATTGTTTTATTTTAATAAAAAATAACAAAAAAATTTTCGCTTTTTTCACTTTTACCTTATGAAAATACCATTTTCTCTCCCATTTTTTTTTTGATTTTTTTAGAATTTATTGGTAATTCTGTGTGCAATTTACCCTTGGCTGTAGGCACCTGTACGGCGCCGGTTACCCGTTATTATTACGATTCAGTTAGTGGACAGTGCAAGACCTTCAAGTTTAGTGGATGTAATGGAAATGCTAACAACTTTCAGTCGTTATCAAGTTGTCAGGCGACTTGTTCGTATCTTGGTAAGATATGTTGTAAAATACGTTTGCAGTGGATGTATTTGTATAATTTTGACGCGATTTTTAGTTATTTTTTTGACTCTTTTGAAGAGTTATTTTCTGGTTTGATGATAATGTTGTAGTAGGCATTTTAAGTAGTTGTAACTTTTTTTAAAACATGTTTATTGAGCTGTAAATTTGTATATGATATGCTCTGGTTAAGGTTTATGATTGTACAAAATTGCAGCCAAATTGGTAAACTTTGAAAATTTGAATTTTATTTTTGGAGCCATTTTTGGCATTCTGTTTAAAGTTTTATTATGGACGAAAACTGTCATTACTTATTAAAATAGGTATCTCAAACTACTTTAAAATTATTTTTCAATAACTTTTAGGACAAAACTTGCTTTATTTCAATTTAAAACGTCAATATTTAGGTATACAAGGAACTCCGATGTGTCCAGCCGACGCCAATGCCATTTTGAACTGTCTTTACGTGCACCCGGACGCATGTCAGACGGACGCTGACTGCATGGGACGTCAAAACAACGTTCAGCCATCTTGTTGTATGACCAAGTGTGGGTATCGGATATGTCACTTGTACTAGGCCGTTAACTTCAGGCTATCTCTGGGCCCTATCTTCAGGCTAAGTACAAAATGAGTACAAAGGTTGTTGAAGTAGTCGTACTGAATAGTACTAATATGTTGTCTGAAGCTGTAGCGAATGTCTTGTTGTTGTGAGGATTATATGATCTCTTATTTTTCTTTTTTTTATGTTGGAAAGAAAGTTTTTGCCAATATTATAGTTTTTTAGATTTTAGGTACTTTTTGTACAACTAGTACTATTTTTATCAAAATTTACTATATTTTGAATTTTACTTATAGAGTAAAAAGTCTTGTCGTTTTTTAACGTTAAGAGAAATTTGACGTCAAGACTTTTTGCCATTTTAATACTGCTATTTAAGGCCTAATAATACCATTCAAAGCTATATAGTATCATATAAGGCCTAATAGTACTATTTAAAACCGAATATTAAGTGCCGACATAAAGCACCCGCCGTTTTTAACAGGAAATTACAGGAAAAGTATGGCGGGTTCTTTATGTCGGCACCTAATATTACTATTTAAAACTTAATAGTGCCATTTAAAGCTATACCATTTAAGACCTAATAGTACTATTTAAGGCCTATTAGTATCATATAAAGCCTGACAGTACCATTTAAGGCTTGAAGTACTATTTAAACTTTAATAGTACTATATAAAGCTTAATGGTACTATTTAACCCTTAATAGTACTATATAAAGCCTAATGGTACTATTTAAGCCTTAATAGTACTATATAAAGTTTAATGGTACCATTTAAGCTTTAATACTACTATTGAAGTCTTGATTTACCATTCAAACTTTAATAGTACTATATAAAGCTTAATGGTACTATTTAAGCCTTAATAGTACCATATAAAGCCAGATCGTACCATCTAAAGCCCAATAGTACCATTGAATTTCTAATAGTACCATTAAAAACTCAATAGCACCATTTTTTTACAAAACAAAAAATGGCAAAAACTCTTTTCCACCTTCTCCCAATTACCGTAAAATTAGTAATATAGTACGAAATGCAAATTAATTTATTGATTATTTCACAAACAGATATACAGTAAATTTTTAAAATATATTTCAACAGAATAAAAGGCAGTCAAAAGACGAGAGATTGAAGTAAATGAAGAGACGTTAGAAAACAAAATTAAATTTTTTAAAATTGGGTTTTAAAATTAAAAAAAAAACTTATTATTAAGTTGTTCAAATAATTCTGAGTTCTCAACTCTCAAAAGTTCTGAGCTATTAAGAGGTAGCTCAAAATTTTTTGAACAATTTAAAAATAATTTTCAAATTTCAAAAAAATTAAAATTTTGTATAAAAATGATTCAAATGCTATACGAATTTCGGAAAAAATTAAAATTTGGCTAAAATACGGTTTATTATAGCACATACGAGCCTGTAGATGTGTTAACAATATAACATACGACAAAGTTTTACAATATATAGTTGTTCAAATAATTCTGAGCCCCCTGAACACAAAAATTTGCTTTTGAGACAGAGCACAGAATTATTTGAACAGCTTAAATTTAGCTTGTTCCAAAAATTCTGAGCCGGCAGAATACGAAAATTTGTTTTGTGAAGAGGCACAGAATTATTTGAATAACCTAATAATACAGTTTTACAATAATATAACGATAAAAATACAGTACTAGTTTGTACCATAGACCAATCTTTTGTATATAACCATGCACATGAGGACTATAGTAAGAGTTACAGTACGTTATAGTAGGTATAATACTGTTTTTTCAGTACTATATAGTACTTACAGTTTCACTATATAGTAATTACTGTAGCCTTATGTATAGCACTTACAGTATCGCTATATATAGCACTGCAGTATCACAATATATAGTACTTACAGTACCAATATACTATAACAAAATATTTCAAAGTATGTACAGTACGACGAACCATACTGTACCCTACTTCCGCCTCGACGGAAATAGCCAGCCAAGCAAGTAGATACCAATTAGAAGCCCAAAACATATCGTAGGAGAGAACTTGGTACTGTATGCCGAGTTACATAATGGCGTATGACAAGTACACAGCTCCACATGATCCGTTGGCTCAAAACCGTACCAGTCTGGTGCAGCAAACAAGTCTTTAAGCCGGACCATTTGACAACTCACAGCACGGTCATTTGACCGTCGTACCGAGTCACCATAATACAGTACGCTTCGGTTGTAGTACTTAATGTCGGACATACAGCCTCGCATGAATCCATAGCGGCGGCGGCCTGAAATTGGGCGTTGGGTAGTATAAGATATTCAAAAAATTTAAAATTTTCAAAATTAAAATTTTTAAAATTTGAAATCAAAAATTTTTTTAAAAACCGTTTATTTTAGGCTGTTCAAATAATTCGAAGCCCCATAATCCTGAAAATTTCCTTTAAGTGTGGCTCAGAATTATTTGAACAACCTAATAGACAAGACCTAAAACTATAGTGTTTTCTGCCATTTTAAATGTTACCACACAGACGAAACAAGACAAAAATTATTTTAAAATAATTTTAAAACACTTCCTTATCATAAAAAACTTAATTTTATTTAGTTTTTTACCTATAACTATCAAAAAAAGATAAAAATAACCAAAAGTTTGGTTTCTTTGGTCATTTTTTGTCATTTTTAATGTGACTACCCAGACAAAACTTAAAAAACGACATTTTGATTTAATGTCCAAATACTGTTTTATCATAAAAATACAAACGTCATCTTTTTTGTTACTTAAAAATATCAAAAAGCGACAAAAATAACTGAAATTCCTGTTCAATTGGCCCTTTTCCACCCGCTGCACTGTGCGCTCCTTCCTCTCTTCTTTTCAAGAGCGAAAAGAGAGCGGGGAGCAGCCGTGGGGGTATAGCTCAGTGGTAGAGCGCTCGCTTCGCATGTGAGAAGTCAGGGGTTCAAACCCCCTTACCTCCAAAGCCCTTTTTTGCGATTTTTTATAATTTTTTTTTGATTTAATTTTTGTAAAATACGGAATTAGATAAAATTTTTTAAAAACTTTTTAATGTTTAATATTTAAATATCTGCATTTAAGGTAATGTTAAAGCAAAAAACTGATAAAGAATGTAGAAAAACACAAAAATTACGTAAGAAAACTCCTAAAAAAGCCAAAAAATAAAAAAAGCATAAAATATTACCCTACCTCCAACCTTATCGTTCATCCTGAGTGTCACGCACAAGTCAGTGCAGTTTTTCATTTTTACCTCGCGATAATCAAAATTGGTACGATCACATTTCTCTGTAAAAGACATTGGGCGACGATACAAGTGTGATATGTAGACGAATTGATCCTCCAAATACGGACTCATACAGCTGTGGCATTGCATTCGGAAGGCTGAAATTGAAAAGGTTATTACTTAGTTTTTTGGCTTTTAAGGCGGTTTAAAAAATTTTAATTTTGGCTAGCTAAAGTAAAGCAGGGCAGGAACCGCTATGGGCAGGGCTTGAGCGCAGGACAAAGGCAAGGAAAAGGCAAGGCTAGGCAGGGCAAGGCAAGGCAAGGCAAGGCAAGGCAAGGCAAGGCAAGGCAAGGCAAGGCAAGGCAAGGCAAGGCAAGGCAAGGCAAGGCAAGGCAAGGCAAGGCAAGGCAAGGCAAGGCAAGGCAAGGCAAGGCAAGGCAAGGCAAGGCAAGGCAAGGCAAGGCAAGGCAAGGCAAGGCAAGGCAAGGCAAGGCAAGGCAAGGCAAGGCAAGGCAAGGCAAGGCAAGGCAAGGCAAGGCAAGGCAAGGCAAGGCAAGGCAAGGCAAGGCAAGGCAAGGCAAGGCAAGGCAAGGCCAGGCAAGGCAAGGCAAGGCAAGGCAAGGCAAGGCAAGGCAAGACAAGGCAAGGCCAGGCAAGGCAAGGCAAGGCAAGGCAAGGCAAGGCAAGACAAGGCAAGGCAAGGCAAGGCAAGGCAAGGTAAGGCAAGGCAAGGCAAGGCAAGGCAAGGCAAGGCAAGGCAAGGCAAGGCAAGGCAAGGCAAGGCAAGGCAAGGCAAGGCAAGGCAAGGCAAGGCAGGGCAGGGCACGCTCGGGCTAAGGAGCCAGGGGTTAAGTTGGGCCTATATTTAAAAATATTTCAAACCGCCTCAAAAGTGTTATACATTACGTTTTGACATACTATAATCTTACAGTAACACACAACATATAATTTTTTTAAAATTTTTTTAAAATTTTTGAGAGGACTTAACGCTGAAAAAAAAACAATTTTTGACTTTTTCCTTTAAAAACAAATGCGCATTTAGCTCCAATGCCGCCTTCCGACCCTAAGGCGTTATTTTTAGATAGAGTATTTTTGATTAAATTATAAGGTTGGTTATTGACTTCGGCTCTTTGGAAATGCATAACAAGGGTCAGTAAGTCATAAACAGAAGTTGAACAACAACAAGTAAGCTGTTATCTACTATAACGTTATGTTAGGTTGTCGTTCAAATAATTATGTGCTCTATAACTAATTTTCTGTAAAAGGGGGCACAGAAGTATTTGAAAATCCTAATACTTACTGAGTAATTATGATAACAATCTTTCATGGTTAAGCCAACTCAAAATGTCATATATATGAGTTCTTAACTTTGTAAAATACGCTGTATGTGTCGACTAATTTATGTAAATTTTCACTTATTCAAATCGTAAAAAAATTTTTTTTAAATTTTAAAATAATTTTCATAGCCTAAAAAGTAATGTCAAGGTGTTTACTACCAATTACAGTTCGTATTTACTCCTCTAATTGATCAAACGGCATAACAACTTGGGTCTCGCCACGAAAACACTTACATGCTAATAATAGTGTCGCAAATTGTATTTTACATTTATAATGCATTTAAATTTACTTCTTTAGATTTAAAAGCAATATTTTAAGCTCAAATACACCGTTTTTGATTTGTTTTGGGTTCTACCACGAAAACTTAAATTCTTGGCGTCGTGTTTTATGTATGTTTTAAACTTATTGAAACTTAATAATAAGACATTTTAGTTTAAAAAACGTTAAAAACGGTAAAAATATACATTTTTATTTATTTTACGGGGTCAACACGAAAACACTTGAAGTCTTAGCATTTTGTTGCAATTCGTTTTTAACTATTACTATAACATAAAAATCATTTTAAAGCATATAATTAGTATTTTGAACGTATTAGATTAAATTTACGTCTATTTTTGGTTCTACAACGAAAACCCTGAAAAGCTTGGCATTCTGTTGCAAGAGATTTTTAGCTATTACTTTTTATAAAAAGAGCTGTAAATGCGTACGAATAGCAGTTTACATCTCAAAGTAAAAATTTTCATTCGTTTTTTGGTCCTACAACGAAAACTCAGAAAGCCTGGCATTCTGTTTCAACCCCAGTATCCACCCCCCCCCCTCCTCCCTTTGAATTCCGTTTACAAACCATGCGGGTTGGCAATGTCGGAGACATTGGCGATGATATATGAAAAGATTTGCAGCACATCGGTTGCCATTCCGCTCGTGCCGTGCGTCGTGCTCCATAAATGCAGAGTCAGCACGAAGAGGCGGACGGTACGTTGGACGGCGACGACATTCGTTTTGTTCGGACGGTTTTGGCGACGCGACAACTTCGATGTAATGTTGATAGCGCTTTTTGAATAGCCTTTGGCCGTTGGCCAAGAGGTTGTTGGCCTAGGATTGAGCAGTTGATATTGTAGTAGGCAGTCAGATGGAAGTGGTTATGTTATGTACATGATTTCGAGCTAATGTTGGTGGGAAAAGATGGTGAGGTTGATATTGTTGGATTTGTAAGGGTCTGGAGATTTGTATATGTGTAAATTGTGGGTATAAAAAGGTTTGTCATACGATGAAACGGCAGTTTTTCGAAAAAACTTTGTTAAAAACGTATTCTGTTAAAAAAATTGGAAAAGGCCAAAATTGTACAAAAGTTAAAAAACGTGTTACCCGTACTAGAAAGTAGTGACAATTTGAGGTTCAAAAAGTATTGTCACTAGGTAAAATTTTGTTTCAAAGGGTTTTAAAATTTAAAAACAAAAATTAGTATCAGGTAATGAAGGGTAATAAAATAAAAACACTCAAATGGGAAAAAATAGTACAAACTTTTAAAAGACAGCAAACAGTAGTAAAAAGTATAGTAAATTTTACGTCTAATAAATAAAGTTACAGTAAAAAAATATTAATTCGAAATTTTCTAAAATTGAAAAAAAAGGTTTAGTCACACCCTACCTTACTCTACCCTGCCCTACCATACACTATGTTATCCTACCCTGCCTTACCCTACCTTAACCTGCCCTATCCTAATTTATCCTACTTTACCATACACTATGTTATTCTACCTTACCTTCCGCTACTTTACCCTACTTCATTCTGCTTTACTCTACCCTAATCTATCTTACCCTACCCTAGACCAATCATTTTTCAAAGTTGATACAAGATCAAATCTTTCGCAAATTAATTTCATTAAGCCAGATGTTTTCAAAAACCCCTGCCATGCCTTCCACGAACCCCTCCATTCTCCCCAAGGACATGTGAATGCATTTAGGAATTAACTGGTTTGTGCCTCTAACTAGTCATCTCTCCGAATCATTGTGAAGAGAAAACCAATGTAAAACATTTACTCAGCCCCACAAGTGCTAACAGAATTCGTTTTTTCGCGCTTAATGAAGTCTCAAAAAAGGGGAGGGGAGGGCCTATTTTCGGGCCGTTAAACCTGTTTGGAGGGGGGGGCATTGTTTTCGAGGATACGCATATCCTCACGCCATCGATACGTGGCTGATGGCGTGTTGTGGACAAAGGCTAATTCTTACAGGCTGGACGTGAGGCTTGAGGAGAATTAGTTGAAAATGATGACAAAAAGGCTATTTTGGCTAAAAAATTATGACAAAAAAATTATTGAGGAAAACTAAAGTACAGTAAGTTTAGATAAGATACAGTACACTATGATCAATTAGGTGCCGACATAAAAAAAACCCCGCCATACTTTGCCTCCAAGCTCCTGTAAAAAATGAAAGATTCTTCATGTCGGCACCCAATAAAATGAGGTAAGACAATATTAATTGAGATTAGGTACGATATCATACTAAAGCCGAGCAAAGTGGAGCATGGTAGGATAGAGTAAAGTAATGTAGACTAAATTGATAGTTAGGGCTAGAGCTAGGATTAGAACGAGAACTAAAATTCGCGTTAAGGGCTAGAGCTAGGGCAAAAAAATCCGTTTTTTATCTTCTAAACGTATATGTACTTCTCCAAAAACTGTGGAGTGCACCGCAAAAAAACCTACGGGCCCGTCACTCGTATAGATATGCTTGTACTAAAAGTAATAATACGTGTCATTTAACCAAACATAACAGACAAGTAAACATATTTTTTCTAAAACAAGGATAAGTTAAAAATAAATTTCAATTTCAAATTTTGATCAATATTCTTCAAAAATACACTTCGAAACGAACAAAGTCTTATATACGTCTGCTTAGATTGTTATAGCCAAGAACAGAAGTCTATAATACCCTAGTTTATGCACTTTTTTCAAAACCCATAAAGTCGAAAAGGTATTTGGCAGCACACGTAGGCCATTTTACTACAAATTGGCTACTAAAATTCCAAAAATTCGACTTTTTTGAAATTTCAAAAAATTTTTTAAATTTTTTAAATTTTAATTGTTTTTTGAAAAAAATGCCGAATTAGAATGCAAAAAGCAGTAATAACATAATAAATGGCATTTTAAAGGGTTTTACTACCTAAAACTTCGACTAATTTAAGAAAATTTCAAAAAATTTCAAAAAATAAAAAAAAATTTTTTTTTCAAAAAAATAATGAAAATAGCTATAAAATAACCGTAGGGTCCTAAAAAATCATTTTAAATTGTTTTTGCAGCGCAAAAACTTTGTTTACAACCCTAAAACAAAAAATTTTCAAAATTTCCAAAACATTTTTTTTCAATATTTTTTAAAAAAAATTTCAAATTATAGTAAAAAGTAACCAAATAAAGTTACTTTTCAACTTTTTTCTTTCTACATTGCTATTTGCATCAAGCTAGAGGCGTCTGAAAGGCATATTGAGCTAATTACAAGTCCAAATTTGGGAATTAACCCATATGACAAAGCTTAATTAGGAGCAAAAACAATGGTTACCAAAGTACATATACTAATATGCAAAAATACATATACGAAGTAAGATGTCAACAGTACGTATTATAGTACAAAAGGTTGTTTTTGTTTGGGCTTGGGGTAAATATTTTGTATTTAGTATAGTTAGGGGGTGTTTTGGAAGAATTTTCAGGTTGTGACAAGACTTTTTGAATCGATTTTGGAAAAACTAATGTTGCTATTGATGAAAAACCTTTTTGGGCTTAAAAAGCAATTTTGTTATGCTTATTTAAGTATATACTT